CAACTCGGACAAGACATAGCTTGCATGTACCGCCGCTTCACTTTCTTGCAATACTTTACTAAACATGGACTGTTGCTTTTTCACTCCTAACTTGAGCTCTTTCAACTTTTCTTCTCTCATTAATCCTTCGTAATTGTTATATTTCGATTTGTGTTGTTCGCAATGACGTTTAATATTATATAACTTTGGTACATTAATAGTATTATTACATATCAAGCAGATTATTTTATCTTTTATTTCACAGCAAAAATATTTTAATTCCCATTTTACTTGGAATATTCTAGGTTTGTCAGAGATTTTTTGTTTAATTTTACTACCACTTGGTTTTGATATAGACATACTGAATACAAAGTGCTGGAATAAACACGGTTAACGTTAAAAAGTTAACAAAAATTTATTCTTTCCACAAGAGATAAATCAAAATGCTGAAATATTTCTTCAAAAATATTCTAACAATATCACAAAATGTCAAACGTTTAGCAAAAATCAATTCAAAACAGAGAAACTAATTCTATCTCACAGCGAAATCGCTACAAATCAATCACAGCATTAAGTAAACAAACAGTTCGCTAAAACTACAGCTACTACCGAGATGAGTTGTTTGTTCTCGGCTTTTATAAGCTTTATAATTAATTTCTCAAATATACAGGAAACATCTATAAATATCTGGATTTTTGTGGATGGCAACAGCAATTACGAGATATTTATTTATTAGGTATTAAATGCACGTGCTGTTCTATTTTTAACCTTCCAACACAGCTGTCTTTTCAAAAATGCTCTGAGTTGCTAAGGGACATGAAGCAAATCTAATTACAATTCTAAATAAAAAAAAACTAAATAAATAAATAACTATGAAATCTGTAACAATATGAATTAAGTAATAATTAATAATAAAGCAAAGTGCATGCACATGCATGCACCAATATATCGTACAAAACTATGATTGGAAAACTGAGACCATGAGTTCGGCCACATTCGGCTATCGGGGGATGCGTACAAGTTCTGAGTGCACGTGTCCCCCAAAAGCCGAAGGTAGCTGAATGCAAGCTACTCACACGCATTTGTAATTTAAGTAGTGTGTGTGTCAGCTCGCTATGAGTAATCTAACAACACTGAATAAATTATCGTTAATTACTTAGCAGTAAACATTTCATTTTTTTCTTCGTCGATATGTTATTTTATTATTATATATTATTATTTGCCAATATATTGGCCGGGCCGCAAAAATATTTGTTGTGGGCCGCGAGTTTGACATCCTTGCTGTAAGTTCAATAAGTAATTACAAAATTTTCGAGTAAAATGTGTATAAAAAATTAAACAAAATACTTTTAAATGCTCAATAAGAAATGTCTAAAAAGTTTTTTTTTTTACCAATGGCAGGCCCTCAGCCGATTTCGGCTTGGCCACTACTAAGGCCTAACACTACTAAGGCCAGAAGTGATAGTCACTTTATTATGGAAGCACCAAATAGGTGGGCACCTTTGCCTCATATGAAGAGACAGACAGTTACAACTATGCCTCTTCCGAGATTCAAACCTGGGACCTTTGATATTACAACCTGGCTCCCCAAACCACTATACCATCTAGGCAGCCTAAACCTAAAAGTAAAGTAAGCAATCCAGTTAAAAGTGACTACTCAAAATCATATCTTTTTAATCTTGTGTGGATGTGGTGAACATGCGTAATAATTAAAACCTATGTTTATTGTTCTCAAAAACACTGTTCGTCTTAGGGAGATAGTCAACAAGAAGGTTCACTGCAAGTACACATTATTTCTAAGGAATAAAAAACAAAATAAATAAATAAAAATAATAAATAAATAAATCTGCAGGTTTCAGATTTTTAATTATGTCCAAATGGGCGCCTTTTTTAATGTTTTGTGTGTTACCTTTATTTATTAAATATCATATGAAGAGATGTTCTTTGCACTTAGCCCATAAAATTCAGTTCAATAGCAATGTCGCAAAATAATTTTAAAATGATCCGATACACATTAAAAAAAGGTAAAATAAAAAGGTGTCCCCCCCGTAGTATTGCCATTGCTCGCTTTGAAATCCTTGAGTTTGTTAATCAAATATTCATTAAAGTTTTACAAAATATGAAATCAATAATAAAAAAATTCCAAATTTCAAATTTGGTCTTCCACATGCCGATATTCGTAGGAGGACTACATCATTTATAATTCGATGCCTCTATGTACTGTTGTTATATCACAATTCGAGAAATATACATACATTTATGCAGATTTTTCATTATTTAATTTCTTCAAGTATAATGCAGAACACTATGGTGGCAACAGTTTGAAAAGTGAAACGGTCATTTATACTGATTCAACGCAAAATTGCAAAACGAAAACAATAGTCTGTCAGGGACAAAGCCCCTTTGGACTAAAAAAAAGCTGCGTGAAGCTTTTTGTGATTTGATTTTCCTAAAGTATAATGTGCATATAAACCAGTTCCTGAGAATATACTCCATAAAGGAATCCTACCCCTTAAGCAGATAGCCATAGTGTGCTTTGGCATAATCTAATAAATTCAAACCATATTGAAATATTATATATCTGACTTTCGTCATAACTAATAAATCGACATTCAAGTAACTGACTGCAAGCTGTGATTGGAAATTTTAATAACACTTTAAGAATAAACTGATACAAAACAAGAAATAATTTTGACTATAAGAGTATTGGATTAAAAAAAGTGAAGAAAATAATCTCATAATTAAGTTAGCAATTTTTTTATAGATAAGGTCATGCAGTTACTTACCTTCCTTTTTCTAATCTTTTTTAAGATTATACTTTTCATGAAAAATTACCAGTAAAAACTTTATAAAAAATAATCTATTAATGACCTTTGTTAGTTAACTATGTAAGTTTAAAATACTGTGAAGTGCTATAAGTTGCATTATTTTTCTATGCTTAAAATTCCTTCTTACTTTAACAGCAAAAATTTATTAGTTAATAAATAATATGAAAGTAAAAACTATCCTTTCTTCCATCTTGCGTTCACAAATCATTATGGGAATATCCATTTACAATTATTAAAGCCTGAAAAAAGCATGTCTGCGATGTTATCGTCATGGGATGATTTGTAGATACTTTATTTTTGACCACGATATTTTTAAACTGCAAAGTTTTTTAACCGCTTTATTTCTTACGACGATATTTTGAAACTGCGATGCTTCTCCCTACAATGTTTTATAGCACGACGTTTTACTTTTCGTTTTTTTCTTTTGTGTTTTCTCTCCCTGTTTATAGCACGACGGTCTACAGTTTTTCTCTGCGATGTTATCGGCGGACACCCTTAACACTATCAACTCTGCATCGTAATATATATATAACATTGCATCGGGAATTCTAAACATATACAGTCAAAAGTCTTTAATCCGGACGTCCATAATCCAGAATGATCTATAATCCGGACCACAAAGCTACAAATTTTCTGCCATGCGTAAACGCATTAATGCGTTTACGCATGGCATTAATGCGCATAAATATGTTTACGCAGGCGCATTTAATGTATAACGGACAGTATAAGCTAAGCTAAAATTATCTAATTATCTATTTCAGTTAATGTTGCAGATTGCATTGTTCCTTAACCTTCTAATTGAATCCGACTTATTATTTTTTGCAGACTGTTAGAGCAATTTTGTAAAGGTAAGCTTGAACTTTCGATTATGTCAGAAAGAATTTCCCATTCTGGAGCTACCAAAGGATCTACAAAGTGAAAGCATGTTTTGATGTCCATCAAACAAAAAGTGGAATTGCTGCACAAAATGGATAAAGGCATATCCTTTGTTTCTCTAACCATTCCGAAATCTGTTTATCAATTTCATGCTGCTCTGCGGGAGGGGGGAGACGTCGCAGTGCGCAATGAACTGGAAGTTGATCTGTCAGCACTATCCTTATCTTCATGGCAGATGTTTTTATTTTATTCGACTTATAATTCCTTACTAAGTGTAATATTTCATCTCGATGTACTCCGTCTTTGATGATTTAAATCAAATTCCTCGTCATTATAAATATCACAAATACACATCAAATAGTTTTCTGGTTGCAATTTTCTAATTTCGACTATGCGTAATGTATGCTTTACGCATGCACGCGTTGAAAGAAATGTTTAATAAAGTAAACAAATAAATGTTAAGCTTTTTTTTTTTTTTAAATTTTGATACTATTTAGATCATAATTGCTCTTTATTTCATAAATTACAGTTTCATTCATCTTACCAGATTTAAACTGATGATCTATAATCCGGAATCTCCGAAGTCCCGACGAGTCCGGATTAAAGACTTTTGACTGCACTGCTATGCTGTTTTTCAAATTTTTGCAATTTTGTTGTTGAACTGCATGTGGCATTAAGTAGAAATGATGTTTAGTAATAAAGTTAAAAAGACAAAAAAAAAGTAACAGAAGTGAATGCAAAAGCAGACTGGTAGACTGCTTACTTAGCGAAAGCGTATAAAGCCTTAACAAATTTTTCTGGGCAATCGTTACAATCCAAAACCTTTCAGATTTTTGTTTTGCTCTTATTTTATTTATTTTTTTTTATGTATTTATTTATTTGTTTATTTTTTATTATTACCCCCCCCCTTAGAATGTCATCTGAAAAATCACTTCTGGACCCCTGATTATTGATTCAAACTGTCTAGAAATTCACAGACAACAAAGGCACTCAGTCTGTATCAAGAATCATTAGATTAAAATATTTAGAAGAAACCTTTAATTGTCAACTAACAATTAAAAATAAGTACCTTAATTCTTTGCCAAGAACTACACACACATGGAAATGTGACAGCTTCTTTAATATTTAAATTCAATAATTTGTCATTTAGGAGAGCAACAATGTTGTATTTTTTGTCCTTTGAAAAGTATTGAGTAATTTTTAAAATACAAATTGAATTGTTCGTCTTGAGCCTTTATAATTAGAATCATTGTCAAAGAAAGATAAAATTTGATCAATTATTGAAACTACTTAGTCAAATTAAAAATATATACATACAGTGTCTTTACAAATTACTCCTGAAGACATTTTGTTCTTTACTTCAACATTATGGCCAAGCAATACCAAATCAACATCAAGACAGTTTCCTTGCCTCAAAGGCTTCCATCTCTGAATTAAAAGCCCACTAAAAAATAAGCCTCAATTAGTATACATGTAAGATTAAATAATAATAATATTGATAACAATAATAATGAAATGCAATTAAACCTTGTTTCATGAATTTAATTTTCTCCTGAACATAATTCATCACCTGAAATGTTTGTAAACCAGAACAATATTTTCCATAGGAATTAATGTAAAATTGATTAATTTGTTCTCAGACTGCTAATAATGGCATAGAAGAGTATTTTGTGCATATGCTTGCAACAGAAAACTAATGGAATTCACTAAATTTAATACATATATAATATTAACACATATACAATATTAACACAATACTAAACATATAAAAAAACAGGAAAACTTAGCTTACTATGATATAAAAAAAAATAGGAAACATTTAATCTTATCTCTATGAAGACGATTTGTCAGCATACCGAAGAAGTGAAGATGCAAAACATTACTGTTTGAAAGGAAGACCTTTTCATGTAAGGACATGAAAAGGATATTTCCAAACATGTAAGGTAGTTACTGTCTTTAGAATTGTTTTTGTTTCTTAGATCTTTTTCCTTACATCAATGTCCTCCATTTGAGAATCGATCGGATTTAGTCCCATTAAAAATTTATCCAATGCAATTTATTTCTGTCTGTGTTTTAAATGTTCCTAAAACAAAATGTGACATTATCATTGCAAATATTTATGTTGTTGCTTACTATGGAGAAAAATGTTTTAGTATATTTAGCTCTTAATATTGATAATGTTCATAGAAACTTCAACCGATTTTGTAAAAATGTTGTAGATCAAATAACTAGGAATATCAATCAACCCTTCACTCTTCCACATCAATCATCTCTTATTGCTGTCTCAGAAATTTTTTCCACTTTTCCATGCTGAGTTCACTTTTGCAGTTGTTCTGTGTCTTCACTGTTAACTTCCAAGCCCAAATTTCCAATTTTTTTTCTTAAAGGAATCATCGATGGCAAAAGCTTTCTCATTGTTAGGGCAGTCAAAGTCTCTGCCTGGGACAAAACTTGGCCACAATTTCCTCCATGCCGAATTCAAGGTCCTGTAAATGACTTGCTGCAAGGTTTTGTCTATGTCACTTTGTAACAGTGAAGAATATTAAAAGAATGTTTTCAAATGCCTCCAAGTGTAAATTCTGTGCCTAAGATTACATTAAAAAACTTTTAAAAAGTGCTTCAGGGTAAAGCTTCTTGAAATTTAAAATAACCTGTTGATCCATGGCCTTTGTTATAGAAAACTAGGTTAGGAAGCAGGAATTACTGTGATGAAATCTAACTACGCCAACTTGTAACTCAACTCAACATGCTTTTGCTTTGTAGATTCTTTGGCAGCTCCAGAATCGGAAATTCTTTTTGACATAATCGAAAGTTCAAGCTTACTTTTATAAAATTGCTCTAACAGTCTGCAAAAAATAATAAGCCGGATTCAATTAGAATGCTAAGGAACAATGCAATCTGCAACATTAACTGAAATAGATAATTAGATAATTTTAGCTTAGCTTATACCGTCCGTTATACATTAAATGCGCATGTGTAAACATATTTATGCGCATGCGTAAACGCATTAATGCATTTATGCATGCGCACAAAGTTTGTAGCTTTGAGGTCCGGATTATAGATCATTCTGGATTATGGACGTCCGGATTAGAGACTTTTGACTGTACTAACTTTAATTTACTCCCAAACACTTCCTTTTAATTTAGTTATTTCCTTTTGCATCTTAAACACAGTAACTGCTTATAATAAACTGCTCTTAATTGCATCACTGCAAAATAAATCTTTCTAATATGACCTTAATATCATGCTAATAATGCAGACATTTACATGAATTTTCAACCAATAATAATTTTGTATTTTATTAATTGAAACACAAACCACAAATCGAAATGAAGCTAAAACTGTGACTTAATTACTCTGATTTGGGTTTTTATCTTGGACATGTCACATTTCTTCTTTCACCTCTCTGTCAGCTACTGTCTGCAGCTACATTTTCTTTCCTTGGATAAAAATGTAAAAGATGCCAATGCATTTTGTACCAATTTAGCTACACCTCTATCAAAAACATTTTATCAGTCAAAAAAAAAATGTCTAGTCTGTAACAATTACATCTAGTTCTCCATGAATTACCTCTCATCCTTAATAATTATATCAGGAGACCATAGATTTATAAAAATAAGGCAATCCATGTATAAGATTTTTCCGGCAAAAATTTAGTTAAACAGAAAATCTAAGAATAAGATGAATTTAAAATCTCCCAATAAATCCGTTTATATATATGTCATCAAAAGTGAGAAAAATGTATTATCTGACTTATCAGATGATTGAAGATAAATGTCAATTCATCTTCAGCTTCCATTAAAATAAATAGGAGTGACAGCACTATAGACAAAAAGCACACTTTTGATGCTATTGCTTTCTCTTCAAGCCTTCTAACTTCAGTTGCATTTTCACTTTTACAAATAAAATACAATACTTCTTTTTGCTATAGAAAGATGCCCAAATTAAAAAGGAGGGCATCTACATACTTTGATAGTCTAAACTAAAAATTATCATTTTTGTTGAGCAACACTATGGATGGAAAAGATATCAACTGTGAGGCAAATGCTGGTAATATTAATGATTAAATGGAAGATGATGACATCCATTTGGACTTGCCTCAAGCAAAGAAAATTTCTGGAAAACTTTGAATCAGATCTATAAGTTAAGAAACTGATTAATGTGTATTTGAATTTAAAAAAACTCAAAATAAATTTTTCCTTTATTTAACTTATATTATCCTTTTTGCGGTCAAATCATTTATAAATAACACTGAACTCAATATAAACGCCAATCGCCAAACTAAAACTGTTAAAGATTCTCAGTGTACACATAAAAACACACACAGTAGCTGTTTTTGGACTAAGCCAATGAATAAATTTTACTTGTATCAACCATAAAAATTGGCTACAATTGAAGTTGTTGGTGAAGATCCCAGTAAAGTTGCACTCTTCGTTCACAGACTTCTGAACCACACTTCTAGCTGCAACTTTTACAATAATACATTTGGTACACTTTCTGCACAATCAATAAAACAGCCTATGCTGAGGGAGTATTCGACATTTCAGGCTATTCGACGTTATTCATTTTCTGTTTCTGTTGATTTCTATTATTTTGTTAGGCCCTCTGATTTTACCAAAAGTTTAGAATATTAGAATTCTGTTTAGAATGCTACAAGTGCAAACTTCTAACAGGTGATTGTGTCAATATATTACTGTTTTAATGGCAATATCCAGCTGTTCTGTTTCACATTAAATGGATGTTAATTTTCTTGAGCTCTAAATTAGCCTAAGGGCAATTACAAATGTGATTCTACAACTTTTGAACTCATTTTTTCAAAACACAAGGAAAAAATAACTGTAACAGTTAATTTATATTCTTGTTTATAAAAACAAAATAGAGCTTATCAAAAATTAGTTAGGCTATAGCAAACAAAAGTGCAGATGTTATGTATTGTGATTACTCATTTTGATGTAGTGGCCGAAACTGCTACACAAAACCTTGGTTTTGATAGAGGGTTCAAATGAACTTCTAACGCAAGTTCCAACAATAACAGGAATTTTAATAAGATAAAAACATTAGCATTTGCAAAATTCAGTCCCGTAATTTCAGATATTTGTAAACAAGAAAATGCGCTATCGCTATTGAGTGATAGTTCTAGCGAGCCAATATGCCCACTGCTCCAGGAAGAAAGTACTGGCTCATCTCAGGAAAAAGCCAAATTTCTTTCTCACTGCTCCAAACCTTACTAACTCACTGTGTTGTTAACCGCACTGAACTCCTGGGGGGGGGAGAGGGCATTCTTTCCCTCGTACATAACAAAAGTGTACAATTTCTGACCATGATAAAAATACTTCTTTTATCCTTTTGTCCCTCCTGAGTGACTTTCGAGGCTGCAACTGGAATCATTAACAAAGGCACCTTGTTGCAACAGGATTTCTCCTGTGGTCTGAAAGAGGTACCACTGCATTCGGAAATTATTCATCCAAGGCAAAGAACCTCTGTGTGACTTTATCATGACTCCTTCCCTCGTAAAAGAATTTTCCTAGACTATGGAAGGAAAAATTCTCGGTACTTTTCACAACTTCCAGAACAAAAGTGGTAACCATTTAAGAGATAATAGAGAAGCCAGTTACTTTATCCTGCACTTATTTCTAGATAACATCACCTTGAGACAGATAACATAAAAGCAAAAATACAACAAAAAGATTTAACTACTGCAATTGTCTGCCTCACACAAAGCATATATTTCTCAGTTCTGGAGACCAAGAATTCCTAATTCGCACTTCAAGACTGAGCCTTCCACAAATTTTACAAAATGCCAATACTTAAGATAAAAACCTTTGATTCTAACTATTTTTAAAAAGAAACAAATGAGGCAAACAACTTTGAATTAAAAAAAGTGCAATGCTAAAATACTACAAAAATTATTTACATCAGTTACCTCTTTCCTCAAATCCATCTTCGTTGGACCAGCCAAAGAAGAAAGAATACCAACTTCTTTCTCAATATCCTCCACTACCTCTTCTTTCAACAGATTCACAAACTCAGGGTGCTGATGATAAAGTTCAATCAAATTGACATGATAAATGGTATCACTGCTATGCTTACCCAGAATCTCTATGATATAGTTAGTTTTGGAAATCACACTAGTTACTTTCCCTGGCCCTATCCAGTTTACCGCTATTTTGTGAGGCTCACGTGGCTAAAACAAGCACAATGTCTCTGACCTTAAACCTATAGTGTTGTGATCATACCAGAGTTTCCTTTTACTCTGACATTCTTTCATTCTCTCTACCATCAGCTCCTGACACTTCTTTAATCTGTTTACCAAAGCTAAAACATACTCAACCACAGTGGGGTCTGAACTTTCTTCCTCTAGCCAATTTTTTTACACGATCATTCTGGGCATTTTTAAATTTTTCGTATGTACTAACTCGCAGGGACTAAATAAAACCTGTGCTC